CTCCGTAGTCGAACTGGGCAGCAGTAGCGTCGGTCTCGTGGTCTATCGGAGAGAAGAGGGGGAAGAAACAATGAATACAATGCAAACAAATGCATATCGATGCATGACATGACAAGTATCGATGCTAGGTGTGCCCAATCGCGGTAGTAGGTGATACCGACGAAGGGGGAAAACATCCGGGAAAGTATCCCCGGTGTTTCGCGTTTTCGGGCAGAGGTACCGAAGGGGGAAAGTTTCGAGTCCTATAGGTTAGGGATGTGTGGCAGATGAACGGGTTGCGTATCCGGATTCGTCTCGTCGTTCTGAGCAACTTTCATGTAGAAAGTATTTTCATCCGAGTTACGGATTAAAAGATATGATTTTCTAAAGATTTAAATCATTTTCTGATTTTAATTATTTATTTAAATCCAACATTATCCAAAACAGTGAATGATGACGCAGGCATGACATCAGAGTGATGTCAGCAGGTCAACTGGTCGGTTGACCAGTCAAACCAGACAGGTGGGTCCAGTGGGTCCCACATGTCATTGTCAGGGGCATTAACAGAGTTTTGAAATTAACTAAATGGGTTAATTAGCAGGTAGGGCCCAGTAGTCAGAGAGAGATTAGGCTTTAATTAATTAATTTAATTAATTAGCAGTTTATCTATTGGTTTTTATTTGTTTTATGGGATGGGGCCCGCATGTCAGTGGCAGTAGCTGCCACATCAGCATAGTTGACCTTGGTCAATGTGGCCAGCTGGGGCCCTCGGGCCCAGGCAATGACCCAGGGGTGGACCCCCGGGGTGCCAGCTCAGCGGAACCGCCGGAGTAGCTCCGGCGAGCTCGCACACAGCGACCGAACACTGGCGTGCGCCGGGATTCGCCTACGGGGCACCAAATCGAGCGCGGCCGGGCGCGTTAGAACGGCAAGACGACGACGCGTCGGTTGGTGGTGGTCGGGCGAGCTGCGGTGGCCGGAGAAGGGCGCATCGAGCTCATCGGCGGCGAGGTCTTTCGGGCGAGCAACGGCAACGGTGAGGCGGCGCGCTACGGGGCAAACAGAAGGGCGGGGCGAAGCCTTCGCGCGTGCGCGGGCACAACGGCACGAGCCCCGGACCAAAGGGTCACCGGACGGCTGCCGGCGACGAGCGCGGGCGGCGACGCGTACGGGAGCTCGATGGAAACAGTGCTACGGCGAGCTAGCGGGCAAATGGAGAGGCTGGGGAGGATCTATGGGGCGTGGTGAGTGCAACCGACGCGGGCCCGTGACCATTTGGTCACCGGAGACTCGTCGGCGACGGGTTCTGCGGCGGGGCGCTCGGGTGCTTCGGCGGCAGCTAGCTAGGGCGCCGGAGAGAGAGAGAGGAGGGAGCAGGGGCTCATCGAGCGGCGCACACGATGGCCCTTGGGAGGTTTAGTAGCTGCAAGGGCGCGGCCGGAGTCGGTGAAGAACGGCGGCGGAGCTTGTCGGAGCAGAGAAGGAAGATGGCGGCGTCGGGGCGTTGCGGTGGCTCCGGTCTCCAACAGGATGCACCAGTCGAAGCAGCGGACGACGACGGTGATGACGGACACGCAGGCGTGGCGAGGCGATGACTGTGGCCGCGCGATTCACGGCGGCAAGGCCATGGCGGCGCACGGGT